ATTGTCAGAAATTCAAGATTATCACCACAAAGAGCCTCATAAGAAAATGCTTCCTTCCAAGCTAAGATCAGGTGGTGCCCGTGCCTGGTATAGGTGAACTGAACCATGCCGAGCATGGAGCAGCCTGGAGAAGCCTTCATGCTGGCTTGGCCTTGAGCCTGGCCCACCAGCTCTGTCCTGCCCTGTGCTCATTCAGACCATGGACCAAGGGGAGGGTGTGAGTGATGTTGTGCCCAAAGAGAGGGTGAGCAAGAGTGAAGTGCCAAGCACGTGCACGCCCTCCTTCGCCTCCAGCAGCTGGTCGGGAGACAGGTGCACCCTGCTTCTCTGTTCAGCATCTTAGCTTCACCTCATTGCGTCCAAGAGAGGGATGTCTTTGCTGAATTTTCCAGATAGCGAGAGGGCTGCTTTCTCTGAGAGGGCATCAGCCACTCAGTATCGAAAGGCTTTAAAGGCCTGCATCTGCCCTGTCCAGTGGGAGAAGGTGACCTGGCCTGCAGGACAGGCCTCAGGGTGTAGGTGGGGAGATCGCACAGCCCTTGGCGCCAACAGCTGAAGGGGTGCAGTGATGCTTCTCTTGCTGTATGTGCACAGGAGCGAGCAAGAATTCTCTTCTGCAGGGTACAGAAGGCAGGGGCATGCTGGGGTTGCACAGAGGTTGACAGCAGGCCAGCCTGCTGAGGGGTTTGCAGGGTTCCTCTCACAGGGGCCGGCAGCTTCCTCATGGCTCCTTCATTCTGTTGGCCCCATGTCGCCTGCCAGGCTTCATTCTGTCTGTGCCTTGGGCAGTGGGGAAATTTGACCCTTCCCCAGGCTCTGCCCTGCCCGCAGAGACTCCATAATGTGCTTGTAAGGCTCTCACCAGCCTAGGCACCATCTCCCAGTCCCTTGTCCCCAAGGCTCCCGTGAGTGTCAAGCCCCAGGCACTGGCTCTGCGGGGGCCCTCAGGCAGGGCACACACTTTTCTCGATGCAGCCTGGGCCCTTCCCTCATGCCAGTGACTGCCTCACAGGCTGGTGAAGCTCATGGACCACCTTCTGTGCCCCACCACGGCTGGATTTCCCTTACTCCTGCACCTCCAGCTTGCTGGTTTGGCTTAGCACTCTATCCCATGAAGGTCACTTTAAGCTGGTTGTCATTTGATCTCCGTGTCTTCACCGTTCTGTTTGCGCTCACCCAGGGCATTGAGCCCTTCTAGCTGCCTCAGCCTTGGGGTCCTGGGGCAGACAGTGGCCAGCTGTCCCCTTGTGATGTTTTCTTCTTACTGACAGAGGTCACACAAAGGACTTTGCCTTGAAACTGAGCTGCCAGCAAAGGACAGTTTCAAAAGTGTGAAGAGAGCTGTTCGTTTCCAGCGGTTCCGGTTTTGCAACCTCTCAGTCTGACAGGAGCTTCAGATCATCTCTGCAGATTGTTTTGGTGCCAGGTGTAGTTATTTGTCTGGCCATAATGGTGTGAGGTTCAGCATTCAGGTGCCAGCTCCCGGTTTCTCATCTCTTCTGTGTTTTAGGGTTCTGGTTTGTAGACTTTTTTTTTTTTTTCTTTGCAAGACAGCATTATTATTTATGTCCAAATAGAACAAATCGAACCAATTTAGACGTTTTGTAGAGGACAGACTAATTACTCGTGGAGAAATGCTTGTTACATGGGAAAAGCAAGTTACAACGGGAGATGGAGAGGTGATTCTAGTCACGAATGCGATGGGGAGGAAATGCAGCAAAATGTTCTAAGTGATTATCACTTGGTGATAGCATGACTTATTTTGACCTTTTTCTGTCTTTAAATGTTTTTTAAAGTGAGTATAAGTTATGATAAAGAAAAAACATCGATTTATTTAAACTTCATACCCTTTGATCTGATTTCTGTCCTAGTATTCCGTTCTAGGAGACGCTTAGCTCCTGACAGTCTTGTACGCAGACATACCCAGGGCAGGGCTGTCTCTGGTGGTCTAGGTAGAAAGTGCCAGCTCCGTGCCACAGGAACGCTGTGGATTGCAGGTGCTGGAAGCATCTTGGAGTTCAGCTGCCTTTTCAAATTTATTTCCAAACCATATCCACCCCCCTTTTTAAAAATGTTTGTTTCTGTCTTTTTTTCTTTCACGAGAGAGACAGAAAAGACAAGCATTCTTAGTAGAGTCTCACCCTGTGATCCCACCCCAGCCTTCCCAGCCAGCCTGGACCCTGGGCTCATGTGTACGCGCTGGGACAGGTCTACCCAGAAACTGAATCCCATTGTCTGTGTGGCTCCCACCGCTGCACCACCGTGGCTGGACCAGAACCTCGGTCCCCTGGAGATGGTCAGCGCCGGTGGTTGTCTCCCTGTCATGCGAGCAAGTGTGCTTGTCGTCAGGGCCTGGTCACCCTCTCTCTCCCTGCCCGGCCCCTTCCTCTTTGGGTAGATTTCAGTTAGAGCGGCAGCTCCCAGTGACTTCCTCTGTCTTCGATAGCTGTGGCCCAGGGCGGCGAGAGAAGCGTCTCTGTGTCTGCAGAGAGTGAGGCCGTGCCGGCCACCCCAGCCTCGTGAGCGCTGGGCAGATCAGGGGAGTCTGTGGGGCCAGACTTACCGGTTTTCTCTGACCCTCACTGTGGGCCTCGCTGTGGTCCTGCCCCCTCATTGCACAGTCTCCAATTTTTGCTCTTCTGGGGCTCACTGAGCCTGGGCAGAATGTGCCTGGCCCTACGTGGCTCCCTTACTTTTGCCATTAGGATGGTTGTGGCATGTCCTTTCCCTCGTCACTTTTGCCATGGCTCACACCTGCAGTAGCAGGCCCTGAGGTCAAGAGGGAACTTGGAAGGAGGGTCCTTGCCCAAGCTAGACGGGGTGCTGGTGCCTTCCACCCTAACCCCAAGGCTTCTCGAGTTCTGAGCCCCTCTGTGAGCACATTCCGTCACCTCTTCATCCTCTGTGGATTCTACTTTCGTGTCTGTTGAGGCTATCCTTCGCCCCAGAGCTGAGCTGCCCCCTCGGGGGCGCAGAAACCCCAC